GGAACCAGGCTTGGACCGTTTCTTAATTACACTTGTGGTCTGCATACTCATGGACATGAATGTCATGGGGTAGTTTTGGGTTTTCCCATTCAGAGTATTGCTCAATGCAGTAAGTGCTGTCAAACAAATCCTTCATATCTTTGAGGCTGTGTGGATTAGAGAAAACAAACTTGTGCAGCCGATTGTTTTTAAACTCATTAAAGATGTGTGCTGCACCATGATGCCACCCTGGTAAAAACAGTACAAGGATGATCTCATTAAATTCATGCTTCTAAGTACATATAAACTTCTGACTACAACTGTAGCTGTGGCTCAGGAGGCCAAAGAGTTCAGGTGTATGTTGGAGGCTTGTTCATGCTCCTGACTGTTCTGGTGCATCATTAAAATGCACTAAGGTGAAACATTAACATGCCACACTTGGCTGCCTGCACCAGCAGCCACACCAGACATTTCCATAAGAGTCCTGACCGCCTGTTTTAACAGCTGCTGTGTTGTTATAATCACATCAGCCCAGCTTGCTCGTGCACTCTTTTCTTTTATTCCTCAGAGGTATCTGGGTGTGTTAGTTTTATCTGGACAAAGAAACGCAATACATGGCTGAGAGCTCCAGAATATGTATGAAGCTTTAGAAATATTAAATATTGAAGTAAGAGGTGCAGTTATGCGTGAGCTAGCTTATATGATGCATTAAGCCATAAAGTGCACATGTAGCAGCATGTTACGCTCGCACAGCCTTATAGCCGTCAAATGCTCCGGCTGCTGTTTGCTTTTTATTGTTTCAATTTTTAAATATGTAACATGATTTTTATTTTTCCTGTCCTTTTTTTTTTTTTCTTTTGCAACAATGGTAGATATACATTTGGACTTTTTTTTTTTCTTCTTTTAGTCCAACAGTAAATTTATGTAGAGAATTGGCAAGCGCCAACATGTTAAGAGATTTTCATAACGCAGATATAATAAATGTTTGGACTTAAGCAAATTTAAAAAGTAGATTGTGGGCCTGTGTTGCCTCCTTACATTACTTACTTTGCTGTTTTGTTTTGTTTTTCTTCTTCTCCCCTCGCCTATTTCTGGTTGTACAGAAGCAGGACCGGATCGAGGAGCTGAAGAAATTCATTGAGAGGCATCGGTACCACATCCGGATGCTGGAGACGATACTGAGGATGCTGGACAACGACTCTGTGCAGGTGGAAGCCATCAGGAAGATCAAGGTCAGAGGCTAGAGTGATTGGTGTTTTCTGTCCTTTTCTCAGTTTTAAACATAAAATCAGCAACTAAATGTTTGCACAAAGGCACAGTTTGTGTCCACAAGATCTTCTTCGGGTGTTACTTGCAGAAATAACTTATTCTAAGTTAATTAGTGTGCCAAACATTTCCTAAAAATTTGTTTTATGGCCTTTTTCTTTGTTTTTCCATCAACTAAATGAAATAATATTTATAGAAAAAGTGTAAACCTTCATCAGATGAATTTATTTATATACTGCCACACGAAAAATTAGTTTAAGAAATGTCGTATACGAAGCTTTCTTGTAACTTTCCCTTCTATCTGCACTTTCCTCAGGATGACGTAGAGTATTATATAGACTCGTCGCAGGATCCCGACTTTGAGGAGAACGAATTCCTTTACGACGATCTGGATTTGGAGGACATTCGTAAGTAGAGAAAGAACCGGGGTTTCGTTTCTGAATTCACTTTTTATTTGTTTACATGTAATGATTGTGTAATTGTGTGAATGCCGTGAGGCTGAAAACTCCCTCAGCTTTCAGCCGATTTTCACCATTCAGATTTTAAACTGTTCTGCTCTTTCTGATAATGCCAGCTATATCTTTTGGCGCTCATAACTTTTATACTTTTTGAAATATTAAGCATTTTATGCCTGTTTTTTGGCCCCTTGAGATGAATGGGACCACATCACAAGTGTCTATGCTGATTTAGCTCCCCGGGGGTGGGCTGTGTTTTAGCTCAGTGAGATGAGCAGCCGTTCTCAGAGTGGGAGGCACAGGTTCAAATCCCACTTATGGCAACAATTTCTTCAGCTAACAATTTTTTTTAAACTCTTTTCAACACAAATTTTAGCTCCTTCGCCTCTTTTCAGAAGAAAGTTCAACAAGTTCACCTCCTTTAAGCAGAAAGTTCAGCTTTTTCACTTGTTTTCAGCACAAATTTCAGTTTCTTCTGCTCCAGTTTAGCTTAGTGAGATGAGTAGCCGCCTTGAGACCAGGTGGCGCAGGTTCGAATCCTACCTGTGGCTGCTGCCCCACATCTTTTCCTCTTGCGCTTACTCCACCCTTTCAAATAAAGCAGTTTTCACCACAGATAAGCTTCTACACCTCTTTTCAGCAGATAGTTCTGCTTTTTTCAGATTCCACTACACAGCATTCATACTGCATTTTTGCAGGAAATGCAACTTTTTCTAGTTGCACGTAATATCCTCCCCGTATCCCCAGCATCCTCCTCTGTCACACCAACCATGTTTTCCGTCACTACATCCATGAATCTTCTCTGTGGTCTTTCTCTTTTCCTTCTGCCTGTCTGCTCCATATTCAGCATTTTCTTCTTCCAGTCAATCCAACGTCTCTATTCTGAACATGTCCAAACTCATCCTTTTATATCTCATTTCTAATCCCGGTCACTTCCAATGGAAAATCTTAACATTTTCGACTATATCACATATACATCATATATTATTAAAATGGCCCAAACCACAGTTTTTGTATACTCAGCTTTAAACATTTAAACCTACCAAAGTCTTAAAGGCCTTTTGACTTTCGCTGACCTCCCTCTCTGCCTCCGCTCTCTCCAGCTCAGTCGCTGGTCGCCACTTCACCGCCGGGGCACTCGCACTTGGAGGACGAGATCTTCCAGCAGTCCAGCAGCACACCCACCTCCACCACCTCATCTTCGCCCATCCCCCCGTCGCCTGCTACTTGCACTACAGTAAGAGAACTTTCCCCAGAGTTAGCTAAAGCTTCTGTTATGTGTGCGCTTTTGTCTGTGCAAGCTGTGCACTAATAAATAAAACACTGAGGGCTTTTTAAAGTCATTTAAAAAGGATTAAGAGTAAATTGGAGCCTACTTGTTGCTCACAATCATTCAAGCTTTTCTGCATATTATTTGCATCCTTGATGTTCCCGTCCCCAGTGATATGACAATTAAAATTACTTTAAAAATCCAAATTAATAAATCAACCTGCTGCTTTTCCATCAAAAATAATCATCCAGTTTTGTTATCTCATCACTGACTGCTGAACCTGTCACTAATGGTTCTATTGAAGTAAAACTGGTAATGGAGGGAAATTAAGTCGATTGTTACACTCAAGTTGAGTCAATATCTAAAATATAAATGAAAGATAATTGCCTTTGTAGCTATTGTAGTGCCCTGCCATCTGCTCTCATTGTTCTGTTGCGTTGCCTTTATATCATCTGTTCTTCCTATCCGCCCACACACAGTATGTAGTGAGAGCAGTTATTATAGGGCTCGTTTGTCTGAATAGAAGGCGTGGTATTGTTCCGCGCCGCTGATGAGAAGTTACACCGTGGCATTAAAGGAAATGTAAAGGATGAGGAAGGTCTTCAGTAGGCTGCTCTGTCTCGGCTGTGAAGGTTTCTAGAAGTTGTTGAGTTTGTTCGACACAGACGTACATGATGATATTGAGATGCAGTATAAGTTTGGATGTTTGCTTTACTTTAGAGTTTGCAGGAAAAGTCGAATGTAACAAAACGTCTGGGAGTCCCAAACTACAGACGGCTGTTCTACGAAGCAGAATCTGGAAGTTTTAGTGTTCCAGAGGTAGTTAGTTTTATTAGCACTCACTTAAGCTACAGAGCTAATCTGTTCCAGAGCAGATCACGTGCAAGATAAAAGATCAACGCATGTATAACCACCTACTGACCAATCAGTGCTCCAGAAAATTCAGCATTCATTGTAGAACTTGTTGAACTTGATGCATGGAGGGTATAAAGTTTTAAAAACCATCAAAAGGTTTTTTAATTTCCCTGAGTTGATACTGATCTCCAGTAAAAATGTAGATTCAAAGATGAAACTTTATTCCTGTGGTTTCTTTTTTTCCCCTCAGTGGCTGCAGTTTTTAAACAGTTTTATTGATCTGTAAGCCTAAACATATAATCCTAAAATAGGGCACCTCTTGTACTTGCTGACCTTTTGCACATAGTCTGAGGCTCAGATTTTTTTTTCTGTACTTGCCCTGTTAAACACTGTTAAACACTGTCACGGCTGCAGCTTATAAAATACAGCTTACATTGTCTTTACCATAAACACGTCTAAGCAATGATAGAGCTGTGATACTGATAAGTCTGTTCACTTACATAGTCTGCCTCTTATGTTCTGCCAAAGCACTTACAATATATATATATTCATACAGTGTTTTTTAATCTTCCCATACAAACACTCGCTCTACTTTGGCTGTAGCTGCTGTGTTGCTTCCAACCTGTAGTATGTGTTCACTTTGTTTTATTTTTGCGTTGTGGTTCGATTGTCTTTATAGGGTTACTCGCTCTGCAGCCAATTTTTAGAAAAATTCCACAGCTTTTTCCATGACACACCTTTGTGTTAACATGCACACAGGAATGGGAATGTGGCGGGATGCACATTGCAGATAGTGGGTTGATTCTGATGTACTAACATGTACACAGAGTAATGTTAATGTAAGTGCACGCTTCTTAAATTGAGGTTTACTTTGCATGTTTCTGCACACAGTGCAAAAATCTGAAATAAAGATGATCTCCATTTTCCATACACATGAGCAGCATAAGAATTAAGCAAGACTGAGAAGAAAAAATGTGCTCGTATAAAGTTGTTGATGGTAAATGCAAATTAAATATGAAGTGCATTAATTACTTAACTGCCATGGACAGCTATGGCTACTTTAACCAGACCCAAATAGCTCTGCAAAGCTTAAATCTGCTACTACCTGCTCCCCCCCACCCCCTTCTCCTTCTTCTTCTTTCACTTCACACCCACATTTGCATTAGCGCATATGAGGATGACAACCATGGTGTTTGTCTCTGTGGCCCTAATGCCATGTGTGTTTTTTCAGGAGAACTCAGAAGATGATAAGAAGAGGGGACGTTCGACAGACAGTGAAGTTAGTCAGGTTAGTGTGAAGATGCCGAAACCTCTCCCAGAAAACAAGCAGGAGTGCTGAAAGCTTCAGGAACATCATTACCGTCTGAGATTATCATAAAGTGCTGCAGTTATCAGTTAATTTTTAAGTAGACAGAGTCAGACGAGTGTGAACGTCATAGACCGCATGTAAAGCCTATGTAAGTGCATGCCTTAAACCAAAGTCCATCTGGACTCTGGTCTAACAACTCTGGAGTCATCTTGGAACCAGTCTGATCCTAAACAAACTAGGAAAGAGCCAGAACCTCAAACCACAGTATCCAGAGCACCAACACTGCTCAACACACCACAAACAAAAAGTGTAAAATTTCTACGTCTTTACTAAAACACAGAGTAGAGAAGTTTGCTACAACATAGCTGAAACTGTCATAAACATCTATAGTCATGCACCAGGGCAACAACATTAATTATAGTATGTACTAATATGTTGCCTGTTTTTACTACTTAATGACTTTTTTGCTACTGCAAAGATTTCTTTTCAGGATTCTTTGAGTCTCCTCCTTACATGAAGTGTCTGCTTAAACCTGCAATCTCTCCAATGTCCTGTAGGGGGCGATCCCTCTGGTTGCAAAAAGACGTCTAGTTCGTCTAGACGTCAAGCCTTCATGGCAATGGCAAAAACACTTAGGTTGAGACTTGACAACAGGGTTCTTCATAATGGTTACATATTAAATACAGCCATTGGTGACAGTTATATATAAATGTTGCACAGTCTCTTTGTTATCTCCTTCATCGATGACTAGTAGAGGTGGGAATCACCATACATCCCACGATACGATATTATCACAATACTTAATG